CCCCTGGCATATTCCATTGATGCCTTGATGGTCATTAATTCAATGGGAGCTGTGCGATGGGATTCTCCTATTTTCATTTTTAGCTAAATGTAAATTAAAAGTCCTTTGCTGAAGCGCTTCTTTCTTTCTTATTTTTTCGTTGGCAATTTTCGCTCTCAACCCTGCTTCTATGCAATAGCGTTAATGTCAGAGTGAGCAAGATTCAAAATGGCGAAAAAAGTGCATCCTTACACAGACACACACACAGAGGAAAATTGCAATTTTCTGGCAGACAATTTTCTCTACGTTCGCTCCAACGTTGCCTATTGGTTAGATGCAAAAGCCATGAAAGAGCATCAGAAGAAGAAAAAAAATACCAGTTCTAAAACCCCTTCAACGTTTGCTGTCGTCAGTGGGGAAAATTGGAAGCCAGCAAAAAAGGAACAAAAATGCATGCAGCTGAGGCTGAGGCCCAACGATGATGGTTCTAAATAAAAATATCCTGTTAGGAATACGTTCTCCTCATCGTTTTCCGTTTTCCGTTTTTTTTTTTTTTTTTTTTTGTATTTTTTTGTATTTTTTTTTATGAACATTCATAAGCCTCTATTGCATATTGCATGCAATCAGCCTAAAATGTATGCTATAGAAATTTGTTTAAAAAGAAATTACATAGAAACCATTGAAATACAATGCATACTTTTTTGGGGGAGAGGGTATCTCTAGGCATCTGCACCAGCCAAATCATAGAGAAATCCCCTAAATGTATGCCTTACAAAGACTAATGGCTGCTGTCGACCCAAAACCATCCAACCCACCACCCTTGGCTCCACCAAATGCTTGACGACGACGATGCACGCCAATGACTGCTCTTATGCAGTTTGCCAGGCATGCATCACTCCCCCCTCCCCCTACCCCCTCCAAAAAAAACCAACTCATGTGAATTGAACACGTTAAGCTAACGTTTAATTATTTAGCATTTTTTCCATATCGATTCTAAACAAAATCGTTTGGAGAAAAAATCTAAAGCATAGCTAAAAGGCTGTAAATGAAAATACTCAAGCCCCCGCTGCCGCACACACACACAACTTGAAACCCATTGACGAATATTGACATTTGAGCTCTTCAATGGTTGTTTTTTCTTGTTGTCTTTCTATTTCATGTCAGTGTTTCCGGTTGCCTTTTTGTTTTTTGTATTTATTTTGCCCACAAAACATATGCAAATACTGGCAACGAGGGGGGGGGGGGGTAACCATTTGGGCGCCACAATACCATCAGCTTCTCCATTTTTTTTCGCCCCATACAATTCTTAATTGGCAAGTTGTCTCTGATGGTTATTTGAGACTTGATTTGATTGGAAACATCAATGCATGTAGAACATACATGTCAAAAGTAAAGCATACTTTTAGGTGTTAATTAGATGACAAATTCAAATTAATTGAATTTCTATTTGCCTGCCTGTTTTTCGCCATTCATAGGCCGTCATAGGCTCACAAACTCAATGGAGTGTAAAGTGTTAATTGATTGACACCTTGAAGAGTTAGTGTAGCGAAACTTTGAAGTGGATGGGTGTGTGTGCTTTTGCACTCAGCTGGGAGGAGATGAATTTTTAATTATTCGGAAATATTATTAGATTTTTTTTTTAATTTAGAATATTTCGCAAATGAATTTAGGTTTTTGAGAATGCCAGAATTCCAGTCTTTTCGGTCATATAACGTTTACACCATCTATTCTAAACCGTCGATGAATGGTGCATGATTTTAGGCGGTTTTTCCCTCACAGACAATTTTCTGTCATAGGCTGTAATATCCATTACGAACGTCAAATACCAAATTTGAAACAATTCCAGTGAGTAATGTCGCTAAAATCATCAAAATACCAAATATAGGGAGGTACTGATATATGGGGCCTATACAAAGACGTGGACCTGCACAGACAATTTTCTGTCACAGGTTGTGGTATCCATTACGAACTTCAAATACTAAATTTAAGACAATTCCCGTGAATAATGTAGCTAAAATCAGCAAAATACCGAATATCGGGAGGTGCCACTATATGGGGGCTGTACGAAGACGTGGACCTGCACAGACAATTTTCTGTCATAGGCTGTAGTATCCGTTACGAACTTCAAATACCAAATTTGAAACAATTCCGGTGAATAATGTAGCTAAAATCATCGAAATAACGAATATAGGGAGGTACTGATATATGGGACCTATACCAAGACGTCGACCTGCACCGACAATTTTCTGTCATAGGCTGTAATATCCATTACGAACTTCAAATACCAGATTTGAAACAATTCCCGTGAATAATGTAGCTAAAATCCTCGAAATACCGAACATCGGGAGGTACCCTTATATGGGATTTATACGAAGACGTGGACCTGCTCAGACAATTTTCTGTCACAAGCTGTAATATCCATTACGAACTTCACATACAAAATTTGAAATAATTCCGGTAAATAATGTCGCTGAAATCCTCGAAATACCGATTATCGGGAGGTACTGTAATGTGGGGGGTATACGAAGACGTGGACCTGCACAGACAATTTTCTGTCTTAGGTTGTGGTAACTATTAAGAACTTCAAATACCAAATTTGAAACAATTCCGGTGAATAATGTTGCTAAAATCATCAAAATACCGAATATAGGGAGGTACTGATGTATGGGGCCTATACGAAGACGTGGACCTTCACAAAAAATGTTCTATCATAGGCTGTAGTATCCATTACGAACTTCAAATACCAAAATTGAAACAATTCCAGTGAATAATGTCGTTAGAATCATAAAAAATCGAAAATCGGAAGGTACCATTATATGGGGGCTATACGAAGACGTGGACCTGAACAGAAAATTTTCTGTAATAGGCTGTAGTATGCATTACGAACTTCAAATACCAAATTTGAAACAATTCCGGTGAATAATTTCGCTAAAACCATCGAAATACCGAATATCGGGAGGTACCATTATATGGGGTCTATACGAAGACGTTGACCTGCACAGACAATTTTCTGTCACAGGTTGTAGTATCCGTTACGAACTTCAAATACCAAAATTGAAACAATTCCGGTGAATAATGTCGCTAAAATCATTAAAATTTTGAATATCGGGAAGTACCGTTATATGGGGGCTATACGAAGGCGAGGATCTGCACAGACAATTTTCTGTCATAGGCTGTAGTATCCATCACGAACTTCAAATACCAAATTTGAAAAATTTTCGCTGAATAATGTCGCTAAAATCGTCAAAATACCGAATATAGGGAGGTATCGTTATATGGGGGCTATACGAAGATGTGGACTTCTACAGAAAATTGTCTGTCTTAGACTGTAGTATCCATTACGAACTTCAAATACGAAAATTCAAATAATTTCGGTGAATATTGTACCAAAAAATCATCAAAAACCCGAATATCGGGAGGTACCATTATATGGGGGCTATACGAAGACGTGGACTTGCACAGACAATTTTCTGTCATAGGCTGAGGTATCCATTACGAACTTCAAATACCAAATTTGAAACAATTCCGGTGAATAATGTAGCTAAAATCAGCAAAATACCAAAAATAGGGAGGTACCTTTATATGGGGGCTATACCAAAACGTCGACCTACATGGCCCATTTTCAATACCAAAAGTCCTGCAGACATAATATACATTTGAGTAAAATTTTATCAATCTACTTCATTTCGTTCGGAAGCTGGAGTGATTTCCACAGACGGACGGACATAGAAAAGTTGCAGGTTTCTGTATGCCCTCAGTAGGTATTCAAGTCCCGTCAAGTCACTTTCTAAAAGATAATGCCTAGATCATGTCGCATATAGCGACTCAATTGCTGTTAAGTAATTTTGAGACATCAACAGCTGTTTAAGCTAACCCAAACAACTGCCGTGGGCTTCCTTTTTTGCTTCCCGGATTTCTTTCAGCAGAAATCGACTGGTATTCTAAAATATTATCTTCTGACAAATTCCCCAATGGGATTCAAGTCCCATTATATCATTTTATAAAAGAAAAGTCGCCCATAGAGATCCTGGTCCAATCAAGTCATTTTGAGAAATCAACAGCTGTTTTAAATCCAATTCAAACAACTGCCTAAAAGTATGCAGCACAAAAAGGTAATTTAATTTTCTTTTTTCATCGCTTGTATTTATCACCCCTACCTTCCCCACCTTTTATTTCACAGAATATTAAGCATCCCATGCCCATTTCCGATGCAAATTATTTGCCGTGGATATTCAGTTTAACTTCCCTGCCTTCTTTTGCCAAAAATCGGTTTTTTGAAAGATTATCTTCTGATAAGTTCTCCAATTGGTATTCAGGTCCCATTATGTCATTTTCTAAAAAGAAGATCCTTTGAGTATGTCGCCCATGGAGCTGCTGGTCCAGTTAAGTCATTTTGAGAAACCAACAGCTGTTTTGCTCTCAACCCAAATAACTGCCTGAAAGTATGCACCACACAAAAGTAAGGCAAATTTCAATATCGTTCGCATTTCTACTCCCAAATCCCCCTCCATTTTTTCACAGAATATTAGGCATCCCATGTCCATTTCAGATGCAAGCTATTTAGCGTGGACATCAATTTTTGCCTCCCTGGATTATCTGCGACTGTGTTATCTTCCGATAAATTCTCCAATGGGGATTCAGGTCCCTTTATGCCATTTTATAAAAGAAAATCCTTTGAGCATATCGCCCAGGGAGATCCCGGCCCAGTCAAGTCATTTCGAGAAACCAACAGCTGTTTGAAACCCAACCCAGACCAACTGCCTAAAAGTATGCACCACATAAATGACAAAAAAAATTAATTTTATTGCATTATCGTTTGTATTTTATCTGCTCCTTCATTTCCCTTCTCTCCCTCCCCCGCTTATGGAGATCCTGGCCCAGTCAAGTCATTTTGAGAAACTAGCAGCTGTTTTGCTCTCAACCCAAACATCCGCCTAAAAGTATGCACCACACAAATGACAACAAATTTCATTTTATTGCATTATCGTTTGTATTTTATCTCCTCCTTCCTTTCCCCTTCTCTCCCTCCCCCTTCCCTCTTATTTCACACAATATTGAGCATCCAATGTCTTAGTTCTAATCCATTTCAAATGCGAGGCCACTCTCGTATTTACCGAGGGCTGATTGGAGGCACAGGCAAAACCATAGCTGACAATTCCCACAGCATAAAGACGTTCACCGCGTAAATACAGGGCACCTCCAGAATCATATTGACAAGTATCTCGCCCCGGTGTATAGGTACAAAAAGCCCCAGCCGGCAAGTAGTGTATCAGCTTTTGACAACTCTCCCGAGATATAACATCCAGTGTGGTTTTCAAGAGCACCGAAGACTGTTCCCCGCCAAAAGAGGTGGTACCCCAACCGGCAGTCTCCACACGATGGCCGGGTACGGGAGCCTTTCGATGTCCAGCCGGACCTATGACTGGTAGGAATGGCAAGCAGGCAGGGCCCACAAAGCGATTGTAGGCAATCGATGAGCGAGTCTTCAGCAAGGCAATGTCGTTGTGAACCCGCGATGAGGTGGAGCGGAAAAATTCATGGATAATAATGTGGGTAATGTCATAATAGCGGGTGAAGGTGGACTCCAGCACTGGAAAAAGAGGAAAAAAGAGAACAATTATTAAAGGTTCCCACCCCTCCCCTTTAAAATTTCTCTTAACTCGCTCACCTGTTGATGTATCATGCTCCCCCACCACAGCCTGCAACAGCTCCGCTCGACCCGTCTCCGGTGTCACATAACAATGGGCAGCCGATAGTAAATAACGATGATGAACTGCAAAAAGAAAATGGACAAGAACGAGCGATAAAAAGAAATTCGAAAATCCACAAAGAAAAAACCTCCAACTCACTTATGGCTGCCCCGCAAAAAATCTTCTGAGTTTTTTTGACCAAAATTCCAGCCATGGCAGGAAACTCATCGAGACCGGCCACACCTGATGCTCCCACCACTTTGGTCGTTGAACCCCAGCCACAATCGCAAGGCGGTTGGATAACCTCAACCAAACATGAAAAAGAGCCACCTCCCTCCAGGACACGCACAGCAGCGGCAGGGGGCGGAGATGGGGTCGCCACCAAGGCACTTGACTGGTAATCTTGACCAACAATAACTTTGGCCACACGTTTTGAGGAAATCTTAGGAATGTCGATTGAGCCATTACGCCACGTGCTGGCCGGCAGGATATCGTAGTTGAAATTCAAGACACTTGTTGTTGCCGTTGTTGGCATCGATGATGAAGATGCCAAGGAAGCTTCATCGAAGGCATGTGTGTCGACTTTGTTTGACAACAAGGCAACCACATAGGCAAAGGAATTACCCACAGCACTCGTGGTGGTGGTGGTGGGTGAAGGAGTTGTTGAGGAAGTTGTTGGTGCTTCGGTCGTCCTTGTCACAGTAGACGTGTTCGACAACAAAGGACTTCTTGTCGTTGTTGGCTTAGATGCCACTCTTCTTGGGGTAGTCACTTGAAGTGGCTTTTTTGTTGTCGTCCTCATCCTCATCGTCGTCGTCGAAGTGTTGGCTTTTGTTTTTGTCTTCTTTGTAGTGGTCGTTCTCGGTGTTGTTGTTGTTTTTGGTTTTTTCGTTGTTTTTATCCTAGTTTTTGTTTCCATCATTTTCTCCGACTGTTCCTCTTCTTTAAGCACGTTGACAACAGTCCTTTTGTTTGGCGGTGTTGAAATATAGGAAAACACTGCACGATTCAGGAAACTGGTCCGCTCCATTTGACCCCGTCCACAGAAGTACTCGGAACCGCTGAGCAGTTCACTTCCCTCGCTATTGAAATAGAACACTTCATTGCGGCATTGGGTGGTGGAGGAGAACTGGAATGGAAGATGGAAAGAAAATTAAAATAAAAGAATTGAAAATTAAGGAATCGAAAATTAAATAAATAAAACAATTTGGATAAATTTGGATAACTTTTTATCCACAAATGTGGATAATTTTTTTATCCACAAACGTGAATAATTTGTTTATTATCCACATTCGTGGATAATTTTTTATCCACAAACGTGAATAACTTTTTATCCACAAACGTGGATAACTTTCTATCCACAAACGTGGATAATTTTTTATCGACAAACGTGGATAATTTTTTATCCACCAAGTTCTAGCCGCCTTGACATCTAAAGTCCTTTTGGAGTTCAAAGAGCCTCTCTTCTTTTAAAAGGCCTTCTGTTCCTCAAAAGACCCTCTAGTCTTTGCCAGATTCTCTAATCTCCTAAGAATCACATGGCCTTCTAAAGCCGTGCTGTTTTTCCAAGGACCTACTAGTCTTTCAAAAGCCTGCTTCTCATCCAAAGACCTTCTGGTCTTCTAAAGGCCTTCTGGTCTTCTACAAGCCTTCTGGTCTTCTAAAGACCTTCTAGTCTTCCAAAGGCCTTTTGGTGTTCTAAACACCTTTTGGTCTTCCAAAAGACCTTCTGATCTCCTGAAGACCTTCTGGTATCCTCAAGACCTTCTGGTCTTCTAAACCCTTCTGGTCTTCTAAAGACCTTCGGGTCTTCTAAAGACCTTCGGGTCTTCTAAAGACCTTCGGGTCCTCTAAAGACCTTCGGGTCTTCGAAAGACCTTTTGGTCTTCCAGAGACCTTCTGCCCTTCCAAAAATCTTCTGGTCTTCCGAAAGACCTTGGGTCTTCCAAAAGATCTTCTGCTTTTCCAAAATACCTTTTGGACCTTATAAAGACCTTCTGATCTTCCAAAGAACTACTAGTCCTCTGAAGACCCTCTGTTCTTTTAAAAGATCTTCTAAAGACCCTCTGGTCTTCCAAAGAACTTCTGGTCTTCTAAAGACTCTCTGGTCTTCCGAAAGACCTTCTGGTCTCCTAAAGACCCTCTGGTCTTCAAAACACCTTCTGGTCTTCCAAAAATACATTTTGGTCTTCTGAAAGACCTTCTTGCTTTAAGAAAGACATTATGGCCTTCTATAAACAAGCTAGTTTTCTAACGACCTTCTGGTCTTCTAATTACCTTCTGGTCTTCTAAATGTCTTCTGGTCTTCTAAAGACCTTCTGGTCTTCTAAATACCTTCTGGTCTTCTAAAGACATTCTGGTCTTCTAAATACCTTCTGGTCTTCTAAAGACACTCTGGTCTTCTAAAGACCTTCAGGTCTTCTAAAGACATTCTGGTCTTCTAAAGACCTTCAGGTCTTTTAAAGACCTTCTGGTCTTCCAAGAGACCTTTTGGTTTTCAAAAGAATTTCTGGTCCTCCAAAATACCTTCTGATCTTCCAAAAGACCTTCTGATCTTCCAAAAGACCTTCTGACTCTTCTTCTAAAGACCAGGTAGTCTTCCAAAGACCTTCTGGTCATCTAAAGACCTTCTGGTCTTCCAAAAGACCTTCGGGTCTGAAGCTAAAGACCTTCTGGTCTTCCAAAATAACTTTTGGTCTTCTACAGATCTTCTGGTCTTCTACAGATCTTCTGGTCTTCTACAGATCTTCTGGTCTTTTAAAGACCTTCTGGCCTTCCCAGAGACGTTCTGGTCTTCTAAAACACATTCGGGTCTTCCAAAGCACCTTCTGGTCTTCCAAAAGACCTTCTGGTCGTCTAACGTCCTTCTGGTAATCTAACCTTTTGATCTTCAAAAGACTCCTCCGGTTATATAAAACCTATTCGATATTTTTAGAACCCTTCGGTCTTCCATAGACCCTCTACAAACAATCAGGACTTTTATGTTCCTGGTCTTTAGAAAAACTGGTCGTGAATATATGTATGTTGTGGACTCTCTGTTATATCCTCTGTAAGATTTGGTGTTCAAAAACTCTATAGTGTTCTGAGGTCCTCTGGATTTTCAGAGACTCCCTGGCCAGCAAAGGAGAATCTTGCCTTTTTCGGATTAAAACGTTTGGTAACCCTCTATTGACTTTAGAGACCTTCTGGCCTTCTACAGAGCCCCTGGTACTCTTGATAACCTCTGTTCTTTTAGAGTTCTTATAGAGATCCTCTGGTAAATGTAAAGCCTTTTGGTCTTCCAAAGATCTCCAGGACATCTGAAAATGTTTTTGGTTTTCTGGAAACCTATTGGCCATCCAAGTACCGTAAAAACGTTTGGTGATCCTCTATAGACGTTAGAGACCCCCTGATCTTCTAGAGAGCCCCTGGTACTCTTGATAACCTCTATTCCTTTAGAGTTCTTATAGAGATCCTCCGGTAAATGTGAAGCTTTTTGGTCTTCCAAAGATCTCTAGGACATCTAAAAATGTTTTTGGTTTTCTGGAAACCTATTGGCCATCCAAAGACCCTCAGATTTTCTAATGACATTTGGGTCTTTTTTGTTATGTATAGATACAAATGACCCTTTTGTGATCCTCTGTTCCTTCAGAAAATATATATTTTTATAGGCTTTCTAGTCTTCTACAGACGTGACGATTAAATAAACCATATGCTCTTCCAAATATTTTTTTGGGCGCCTTTAATCTCCGATAGATTTTCTGCCCCCCTTATGGCTTTCTGTTATTTTAAGGACCTTTTGGACTTTTGAAAATCTTTTGGTCTGATAATACTTCTAGTCTTGAAAAGGCCTTGAGGTGTCTTATAAAGGCTTTTAGGTCTTCTAAAGGCCACCTGATACAATAAACCCCTTCAAATTTAAATAAATGTTGACATATTTAAGTTAGAGCTTTGATTTTATGATAATCTGGCGCCCAAATACTAACTACCCACCAAGACCTAAATGCATCGAAAACATAACGAATTCATTTGACATAAACTGACAAAAAATATTTGAAAATTGAAGATGTATCTTCGAATGTTTGGTGAGCAAATTTAAATTGCATTCCAAATCCTAAATGGCGCCCAATCAAAAAATCCAAGCATTTTTTTTTTCGTTCTGTTCAAAATTTGACAAATAAAAACCCAAACTTCGGATGTTTGGTGCCCAAATTAAAATTGGGTTCCAAATTCTTAAATGGCGCCCAATAAAGAACCCAAGGTTTTTCTTTTTTTTTTTTTTTTTTTTTTTTTTTTGTTCAAAAACTTAAAACACATTTTGGCCGCAGACCTTGGACATTCCAACAGGACTTAACACCATCGCACTCAGCACGCGCCACCCAAAAATGGTTTCAAAATGAGATTCCTCGGTTCATTTTTCAGTGGCCACAATGGCCACCAAAATTTCCGGATACCAATCCGTTGGACTATTGTGTCTGGAGGATTTTGGAAAGCAAGGTTAGCATCAAAAAATACCAAAGTGTCGATCACCTAAAGCAAGCGCTTCGCCGGGAATGGGCCAAAATACCGCAGAGCAACATTCGGGTAGCGTGTGACGGTTTCATTGGCCGTTTTAAGGCCATAATTCGTACCACAGCTGACCAATTCAAACAAATCTAAATTTATTCTAAAATTTGAAAAAAAAGGCAAAAATAATGTAAAAATTATGGCGTTTGACTTTGTTGCAGTTTTTTTATCTCACCCTGACAACCAAAGGCAAAATGGCGCCCAATCGAAACACACAAAAACTTTATTTGTTTTAATTCATAAAGATCTGAATAGATGGTGAGTCCTTAATTTTTTGTTTCGAATCTTGAAGTATTTGCAGTTATCTGGCGCCCAATGAAATATTGAAAACAAAATGGCGCCCAATCGAAAATATAAAAATTTAATTTGCCCTAAAATTTAAATAAATATCGATGATTATCTGGCACGCAAATATGAATTGACTACCCAGAAGCTAAATGGCGCCCAATCGAAAATGTAGAACTTTTAGTTGTCCTAAAATTAAATTCCAAAATAACTCTTTTTTATTTAATACCCGTTTTTTTTCTGATGGTTTTGAATAGAAAATTGACCACAGAATTTTATATGTCCTTCATCAGATTCAAATGAGTCTTTATAAGTTACTTTCAATTCCTTCGATTATTATTTTTTTTTTTTTTTTTTTTTGGTCTTCCTTTTCTCACCGTATTCATTTTGATGTCACACTTGAATTTCAAAGCATAATCCTCGGGAGCCACGACCGTGTAACGGCACGAGGTGCCAATTGGATATTCTCCGGGGTAATAGGGTGAATTAATGTAGAGCTTATCGCCAGCTTTCATATTTATGCGGTGATTGCATTGCTCGAACAGGGCCGAAATTGGAACGAGGAACAAACACAAAATCAAAGAGGACCACTTCACAAGGGAAAACATTTCAGAAATTTTAAATATTTCCTTTTTTTAAAATAAATATTGGAACTTTTTTATTTATTTATATTTTTCAAAATTCACTAATTTTTCAACATTTCTGGGTTTCACTTTTTTTTATTTTTTTTCTTTAAAATTTTTATTTCAACTTTCTTCTTTCACTTTCCTCCAGCGACTAAATTCTGTTTCTATTGCCAAGATTTATGTTGAACTTCAACTTGGGGGTTTTCGATTTTTTCGACTTCATGTGTGTATGCGTGTGTGTGTTTGTATCTTTTATTCTTCTTTGGATTTGACCTCCTCCAACTCGAAGCGTAAAACTACAACGATGTTAGGTGTCTGGTTCATACAATCTTCCAAAAACAATGATTG